AACATAAGTAAAAAGGCTGTCAGCAATTCTGAGTACCATAGAGTTTAAAAATGGCACTAAAAATGCAGTTCCCACAAAACTAAAAGGCATGTGGGGAAGCAAGCAGGTTCCATACCTGCTGTCTAGCCATATGCCTATTAAATAGTGATGTTTTACAGTTTACACTTATACCGTTAACTGTATGAATACATGGAACCTGTAAATGAACTACTTAATAAAACCGCAAGGTTAGCCAACTTGTTTATGATTATTATTTTTACAAGTAGAATAAAATCCTTCCTTTCAGGTTCAGATGGAAACTTGTTCTCATCAGAGAGCTATCACCATCACTAAACAAATTGCATAGGTGGATTACTCAAATTTTCCTTTCGGTACAGTCACACATTTGTTACTCTCTACTTCCTCCAGCATGTCATGTTTCTCTGACAGCACAAAAAAAGAGCTCCCAAAAAAACACAGTCTGTAGACAATATTCCCCAGCCCTGCAAAAATAATCTGTCCAAGCTGTTTCCTAGTTTGGAAGACAAAGAACTATACAGAATTTTAAAAACAAAAAACATTTTTCAGGCTAATAAATTGAAATCAACAATTTGTTATATTTACTTGCAAGGTACCTCATTTAAACTAAGTCTCCTCTCATATAAATTATTAACATATCTTTTTCTTCAATATCATATTTCACTGATACTTTTAAACACATATACAACCCCCTTAGTCCCAAACCTTTTTACAAAATAAATTCAGAATTAGCCAGACAATCCATATTCTTCAATCAAATAAAAACAGAATCCTCTTACACTTCCGAATATGTTTGCACAATGCCTGCACAAAGGTAATGATATGTTTAAATAACATGTATGACAACGCATACAAGTATTAAAAACTAAAACATTTATCAGAGCATCTTTTAAACACAATAGAATTTCGCCTATATTGTACATAAACATTTTGACAAAGCCCTGTTAACAAACTGAAATGTGTAATATGTGTTCAAATGCCTAAGGCTTTTTAGAGATCTTTAAATCAGGACATGATTTGACAAAATGAAGCGCTCAATGGCAATAATAGTTTAAGCTGACTTTGCCCCTTATTATTCCACCCTTGTACTAGATTCTTTTATGCAAAATCAGTTTCTAAGAACAAAAATCCAGGAAGAGGAGAGGCAAAGGACAGTTTACACAGGAATTGCCACTTAACATCAGTTCACAAACTCAGATATATAAGCTTTTACTTCAGTACACAAGAATATTTATCAGTGTCTAACACTGTACGTAAAGTGCACTATAGCAAATCTTCAACAGCATAAAGCTTTTGGCTTTTAAAATGGCTTTATGTAGTTTATCGTTACGAGGTAAAATATCTGTTGATCTAGATCCACCACACAAATGTTCTACTATAATTACTTAATAATTCATTACTTCTTTTAGCTTTTATTTACAATATCTTATATAGGTATCAAAATGTAAATAGCATCTACAACGCAAAGGAAGCTTGACTGCAAAGTTTTTTTCTGAGTGGCAGAATATATTCCTATATATTTATTCCTATATAAAATTGCAAATTATTTTTGAAGGTACTTTAAAATAAATGCATATAATTTTCTGTTTTCATAACATATTCTAGTTCCATCCACGTCACTGTTACTGCTGTTTACATTTTCCTTTGCTAGTGCCTCCTTTTATTTTATTCAAATAATCGGTACAATACCAATCGTATTTGGGCATGCCTACTCTGTATAATGAACGATGGTGCAACGATGCTAAACTATCACCATCGCAGCTAGTGCCGCAACCAGAGTCAGATTTTGAAGGATTATTAACTGGGGCTGTCTATTTTGTTTTCAAACCAACCTCCACAGGGGATTTCCCTGCCTCATGAGAACGCTCCAGTTCAGGTCTGAGCGAGCAAGCAACAGGTCAAGTGCTGTACAAACCAGACATGTCTATAATTTCTTTCTTTCATGCTCACATCAGTCCTCACCCGCACTGCTCTCAGGGCCTTTATACTTGGATCTTCAATTGTACTATACCCTCTTACTACATTGGAAACCCTTCTTCTAAGTACAATTTTAAATGAAGAATTGCAAGACTTACGTTCTAGTAAAACAACAATAAACGAACACATTAACTATGGAGACATGAATGTCAATTACCTATGCTTAAAGTCTTTAATGGAGCAAGACAACAAGCTGAAAATACGGCCTCTCCTTTCACTGCCTGCGAAAAACAGTAACAAGAAACTCTTGCTATTTTTGACCAGAACAACGATGGCAAAATCAGAGAGGGGTTTTCTCTCCTTTCTTCAACAGGCTGAGCAATATGAAGAAACCCAACCTAAAAAGATGCAATGCTAAATTTCCTATTGCTGATACTAACTCAGGCTAGCACACAGCACTGAAATTACTACACTGGCACTCAAAACCTGTGAGTGTCATAGCAGACGACAATTGTTTTCATCTGCCGGATCTCTCTACAACATATGACACATCTATGTAGCTATCTTGTCTGAGAAAAACTGGCAGGGTCTTGATGATGTGCACAATAGTTTGAACCATTTCTGGAGCACTGCAGTCCACAAACACTGATGGAAGTATCATCTTCACTACTGAACCACGCTAGGATCAATATATTTCCTTTTTTACACCTCCAGACAACAGGTGAACTGGTTAGACGACACGCTATATCCTATGATAAATACTCCACTGCATTTGACAACCGAGTTGTTATCAACATCAATTAAAAGTTCTCCTGTTTGGGTGAAATTAAATCATGACTGAAGTTAAATCCAAGTATAAGAGAGGATTCTGGACAGATGAAAATAACCCTTTTATGAATCTGCAGGGACAGTGCAATTTTCTTGAAAGGTACACACCCACAAATGATCAATGCAGCTCTGACTTCAGAATACTCTTGGATTTCTTACTGAAGGCTAATGTCTCAGGTAATAACATCTCCAAGAAACACTCTCTGCAAGTGTTTTTAGAGAGGAGTCTGTCTCATTCTGAGGGAAAAATAACTGCTGCTAATACCTTCGTCATTTCTTGGCTGTATTATACCTCTGTGACATACCTGAAAAATCAATCTTCCACATCCAGAAAACTACAGAACATCTCCTCATCAACAGAGACCATTAGAGTAAATCAGCTCTTACCTCTATCTCTACACAGACTTTCCACGGAATTTGAAATCAAGTTCAAGATCTTGATGTTTTTTTTTTTCCAAGTACTCAATTGTTTGAGCTCAGAATATAACAAAGCAAGGGTACACTATACAGAGCACTGCTGAGATCCCCAAACTAGTGCAAAGTGTGTTGGTACACAGTGCAAACACATGCAGGTACTAGTTCAGATTCTAAAAAAAGGTACGGCCATATTAGCATGTCAGTGAGCCTGAGCTAATTACTTCTGCTGAGACTGAAAACTGCCAGGGTGACTAAGTTGCTTCCAGTTTCAGACCTCAGTCGGTTCTGCCTATAGTTCTCAGATGACAAGTTGGGCTTTTCAGTCCCCATGACACCCTTCCCTTGGAAGGCAGAGCTTTGTGCTGAGGGGACAGAACATCCTTAGGGTCTCATCCAGGGCTGGGACATCGAATCCCCTGTGCTCCCTTTTCCCACTCTGTAGGCAGAACATCCACCACTCTGCACCACCAAGTTCAGGTCTTTAACCTTGCTCTCCAGAGTTGCCACAGGAACACATATGCTTGATTGTTTTTTCATCTTCCCATCCCCAGAAAAAATAAAAAACAAATAAAAGAAAAAGAAAAAACAACAGGACACAGCATTGTACACACCTTTGTCTCCCAGAGAAGGTTCAAAATAGATATAGGAAGGTTAGTCATGCTGCTCAAATGATACCGAAATTCACTTAGATTTTACAGTTTGCCACCTGTACCTGCTGTTCTTATACCACTGTAGTGCCTTTCTCTGCCGTTTGACTTGCCTAAAGATAAACTAATTAAAATCAGAAAGGCCAACTCATAGGGATGCAACTGTAAATATGACATCTTCATCTGAGTACAAACTATACTATCAGTTGTCTGTAAAAATAAGGTCAGAGTCTGCATTAAGGAACTACGCTCAGAACTCTGTAATGATTTTGTCATATTCCTGTACAACTTTGGGTAAGCCGTGATACCTACATGCTTCCATTCTGCAATTGTTCAACAGAGATGTTACTTCCTTTTGCTATAAGATAACATGGTGATAATACCCAAATGCTTGATTATCTTGGGAAATAGTCTATTCTAAATATTAATTCAAAATATAATTTTTCTTCTTTACAAAATCCTGTTTTTATGCAATAAATTTATACCAAGAATGCCTTTTTCTTGTTTTACTTCCAAAACTGACCAAACTAGACCACAGAATGGTATTCTTCTTGTAGACTATGACTATCAAAATGGAAAGCTAGAATGTAACAACCATCTGCCAGTAGGTATTTTCCATATAGACAATCCCTAAGGTATTTGAAGTGATCAGATATTTGAAAGGTGACAGATCCAGGAGAAGATCAATAGTAAATAAGTAATGAATTGTATGTACTTATCACATTGTGCTATCTAAATAACAATGACAACAACAATAATAGAGTATAGTGCCTACTCCTTTCTGAAATTCTGAACCAAGTCAGCTCATGAACAGTAAGAATTGTATAAATATTTGACATACTAAACAAAGGAGAACCCTAACAAAAATGGCTTAGGCATTAACTACTGGGATGCAGATGGGAATATTTCTACCAAAAAAGGCAAAAAAAACCCCTGAAAATATGTCTACTTTTGTAATAACGCTCTTAAGTTTTACAACCATTTTTACTTTAGTATAGCAAGTTACTATGAGATAGTGCATTGCAAAGAAAAATTCGGAGAACACAAAAATCTTTTTATCTGTTAATTTCACATATGAGTACCTGAAGTACAGAATATTATATAGTATTGTGGTTTTTTTCAATATTCCCTATACTTAAAGTGGACAGGGTTCAAAAATTAAATCTTTATTACCTTTAAGCATTGTTCTTCCAGTTGATCCTCCAAAGATATTTAGAAGACCACTTCTTGCTCCTAATGATGTCGTCGCTTCTAGTAAAGCACCAGTTATATAGTTAGAGAGTGCAGTCCTCTGCAAAGTGGCACGATATTGACAGTAAGCACCTGTTACACATGGTTTTACGCAAAAACCAACACCTTTGCATATACAGTCTGCATCTGAAGTTGGGAGCTTTCTCAGAAGATGAGGAAAATATTCAAGAATATCTTCTGCTCCTTCTTCTGTCACTGTACTGAAGATCTGTGAAGAAGACAAAAATATGAAGTGTTAGTTCATTTGCTTAGGATAAGACACTCAACATCAAAACCAGCATGACTTGTTGCAAAGTTCAACAGCCTCTGCAAGAAAGCACTGAGTTAGAACACTGCATTTATGTATTAAGCCTGAAAATTCTGAGAATCCAAAACTGATCCGTAAAGATTTTGCGTGGGACTCCCAAACTGGCTATTTAAATAAGATTGCATTCTAGCTTTAAAACTGGTTAAAAGCATTCTAATGGAAAAGAGTTTTTTGGGGATCCCCATAATATAAAAATGTGCCACATCAATAAATCTGGTCAGCATTTAAAATAAAGAATATACATGAAATTATTTATAAGACTATACAATATTTTGCATTCTCAGTAAAATCTTACAGATCTTAGTAGCAGAAACCCATGCCCATGCAAGCATCGTGCTTTTTTCTGGCTGAGTAGGGAGGGTTTTTGTGAATAGAAACAGTTTTAACCACTGTGAACAATCTCAGAACATTCTGGTGTCACGTTCATAGCATTACTTCCAGCCTACGCACAGGTCCTCTATTTAATATTGGTTTAGAGTTCTCTTTTTCCAATATTTGTGCTCACACACTAATGAACTTCAGGCTGTGGCTTAGCAACTAAGTAATGTTTGCTTATTTAAAAGAGCCTAATGATCAAAGCAAGAACCTGGAAGAAACCTTTTCATTTGTTATACAAGGAAAGATTTGATTCTTTGCATTCTTGTAGGCTGACTTACTCATTAACCTTAATAATTTGTTTCAATGATCTGTATTCTGTAATTAAATAGTGTAAACTACCAAACTAAAAATTAAGATAGGAAAAGGTCATTTTAACAGTCACCAGCATGGCTGCTGAGACAATTTTCACAAGGCTGTCCCCCAAACGCTCAGTAATACATATAACTGACATCCTATCAGTTAAATCAGTACTGTCACATAAGTCAATAAAACAACTTTATCTGAAATAGTTATTTTAAATTTCAGTATTTATCCAATTTCATGGAAACAGACGTTAATGTAGGAAATGAAAATATACAAATTTTGCTCTTGCCAGTCCTTAGATGCGGGCAAGAAACAAGCTTTAAGAAACAGGAAACAAGGCTTTATGACTCGTTTTTGTGATTAACGGCTTGCTTCTTGTTGCGATCCTTCCCCTCATATGAACAAAACGCAGCTATCCCTTGACATGGCAGAAAGCGCATCCGGTTGTATGATGGTCACACACGTGTGCTAGATCAAATGGTGAGAAACTGTTCGCACAGTCTGTGCGTATCACACGTCAGGGGCACTCGCAATCTCACCATAGGACAGAATACACGTCCAGTCACATAACCAAACAGGCAAGCAGCTCCCAGGCACATGGATCTGCACTTCTGTCATATGACTTGCATTGCCCCAGCATGTAACTGAGGAGGGTTCACAAGGTATCTGGCCCTCTATAAGCAGGAGTTGGGAACAATGATGTAATTCGTTCACTCACGTAAAGACACTGAAAATAGCAGAAGCAGCTCCTCAAAACGTTTCAAATTCTAATTAATATTTTGGAGTTTACTTTTTGCCATAACACAGGAAATTAGATATAAGGCAGCATTTATTAAAAAATATATTTCTTTTCTCAACTTTGTTAACTTTGTATTAATAATTTATTGGGAGACCAATCAAATTTTATTTAAAATGCAAAAATGTATTAAATGGTAATGTAATTCAATGATTTCAAAAGAGCACTGATGTACTTATTAAAACAGAATATAATAAAAAAGGAACTTTTTTTTTGCATTGTGACTATGACTTGTAGAACTCAATTCTGTTAGAAATATTTCTTCTGTGATTCATTACTCAATACAATGCTGAGGAATCTTAAACTTTTTTTTTGTAGGTTTTCCAAAGTTTTTTTTTTTTGTCTTTTTTTTTTTTTTTTTTTTTTTTTTCCTCCTAACAGGCTTCTTGAAACATTAAGTTTTCATTTGAGCCTCTATCTTCTTTTTTTCATTATACAACTGTCTTGCGGACTCTTAATCCCTCAATAAGAACACTGCTCATCGTCACCTTTATTCAGGAGAAAAATACGCTCTTAGAGCGTGCATTATCAGCACAGCGTATGTGCACACTGTAGTCCATCTACCATTCTACCATATAATTAGGTAAGAGTCTGCAGGGCATAGTGGGATGAGCATCTCATATACCTTTCCAAAAGGTGTACTGTAAAATAGTCAACCTGTCTCATACATAGATTATGAGTGTGACACACACAGCAGAAACAATTAGTCTTTTTAGCATGTTAAAAAAATATTTAGTTAATGAAAATAATTTAACTTCTCAAAACTGCAGTTACTTTCCAAAATATTTTTAAAATTGGGTTCTGCAACTTATAAAGGCATGTTCTGTTGCCTACACTAAACTAAAATTTCTTTCAGCTGCCAAAGCAAAGAAACCATTTGTTGACAGAAATAGGCGACAGTGTTTTGCTGGAGAGATTATATGTAGAATAATGGTATTAATCTCTATTGTATAAAGTAGACTTCAGGGCACTAGCTGTCTCCGAAGACTCTGTGCTTCATATAACATTTTCAAATACTGTCTCTTTTGATGTGTTAAAGCTCTGAATGTTTTACTTCTTCTGCACATAGATGAAGTTACAAAAAAAATACAGACTCATAATGCATACACTTGTAATCTACTAAAAAAAAAAAATGGAAACCATCAGAATAGGAGCAGAGCCATCAGGTAACTGACGCAGAAAAATCACCTTTCAATGAGATTGCACCAGACAACAGGAAAGATTAATTCTGCCCAGGAAACAAAAATGTTCATTCCAAATGAGGGCTTACATTTCATCCTGACAGATGTACTTACATTGATCTATATCACCCATTTTTTCTACCAAGCATGACTGCTGTAATTAAAAAGGTGAACCAAAAAGAGTAAAATGTAGCATTAAACAGACAGCCTACCTGTCAAATAACAACGATTCGCAAGGGTGTATCACTCCTGATTCACTTTTGCCTTCCATATCAATTTAAAGATTTCAAAGTCATCTGCAGCCTGATGCTGAGGTATCTCACACAGACACCAGGAAGTAGTCCGCAAGAAAACTATGGGTAGTATCTGCATCAAAAGGTGTTGAAATGCCTCAATTTTTTTTTTTTAGTCAGTACGGCGGTACATACTGATTTGATTACAGTGAGGAACCTACGGTGAGCTTTCTTACCTGTACTATCGTAACAAACATGCACATAAATGGTAAAATTATGTGCAACAACAGGATCTCAAGATTTACTTTAGAAAATAAAAAACATACATTCTAATACATTTTTTTCTTTTTAAAATGATAAATGAAAATAAGAAATGAGCTAAAACAGATAGCTTCATGCACTAATATAGCAGTACATGAGTATCCTCTGGCTTTAAGACATTTTCAGTTTCTTCTGCTTTTTAAAGACTAAGAAGAGTTTCTGGAGGTAAGTAAAGAGAATACAAAAATTACTCCTAACAGAAAATTTTCCAGAAGGCTGCAGAAGAAAAATACACTTTCCAAATTACAAATGAAAGTTAACTTTGAAATAAAAATTAAATTCAGACAGAATTCCATCCTTAGTCTTACAAATAAGTCCATATTTGGGAAATAAATGGAAACAAAATATAACATTCAGCTGTTAATAATGTATCTAATAAATCATAAAAACTTTAAAATATTCAGTTTTGCTTCTAGTAACTTAAAATGGTATGTGCAAGTTAACTTATTGATAACCTTCAGGCAATAAAAATTCTTTACAGTGACAACAGAAATATGTTGTTATGATATTTGTTAAAAATAACTATAAGAACAATTCAGTCAAGCTGGTCTTGAAATTACTCAGGATTTTTCTCTTATATCTTGTTTTTCTATTCAATCATCTCTACAATTACAAGTTGCATTATGTCCTTTTTTCCAGGCATGCTACTATAGGTTCACTACATAAAAGCATCAGAAACCTAAATATTGTAGCCATTCTTATCATTACAGAGTCTGACTGATATTCCTCCCAAATGAAGCTGCAGTTCACAGGTGCTGATGTACTGAAATACACACAAAAATACTTCTTCTGATTTCTCACTTAAGCTTACATGTTTCTCTTTCTGTTTATTATAGTGTTTTAGCTGTTTCTCTTTTCATATTTTTTTCTGCTTCAGGTATTCAGCTTAGAACCTCAGGGTATGACATCATTTTGTCAAACAAGCTGGTCACTGCAAACAAACTCCAAAAAATGGACTTACGAACAGATCAAAGACTCCCTTGCGTTAGTATACAGGCTTAATTTCTTTATTATAATAAAATAAATATATCAAATATTAAATAAGTTCAAAGTAAAGATTAGCCATGCAAAAGTATTTGTATTACTACTACGCTATAAAAATAATAGCAAATAAGCCATAAAGGGACCTCAACAACTAAACGCATCATTTCTGACAGATACCTGCCCAAACCGTTTCTAAAAAGCCTCCATCGATATATCTTGACAGATCAAAACGAAACATTGAAATATAAGAGGCATACACATGCTTAATTTGTACCACACATTCTAGTCTGAATTCTTGTTTACCTACCAACAAATTAATCTTGAAAGCACTACCTACAGAATGTTTCTGTTACAAAGTGCTGTGCAGCACTTGTGCTATACAAAGCCTTGATTTGTTAAATATTGCAAAAGTAATTTTAAATGCCTGTAAAACCAGACTGGTAGATTATCAAGTAATAACCCTCAGGACAGCATGTCTAGAAGGCTGTTTAAATGTCTCCTTTGAAAACATAAGTTTTATAGAACATACGAACCAAGTCACAATTAATATTACCACAGGAAATGCTGCTTTTTCAAAATTTGTTTTGTTTCAAGGAGAATTTTTTCCGTTTTGGCAAAGAAAACTGTTCCCTCAGATATTTTAATCGGATCAAGTTAACAGTTGTAGTATCTTGGAAATCATGTCCAAGGACCTTTCCATAAGCT